GCGTCGCCGACGCGATGACGTCGCTGGCGCAGGCGCACTCTGTCGGCGACGCCGCGGCGCTGCTTGGTCTGTGAGCTGAAGGTACGGGCAGTCTCTTCTCCCAGCGAGAGGAGAAAGTGGGGTACGTTGATGGCGGAGGGGTCCCGAAGAAAGAGAGAAGGGGGAGAAAAGGCCCAGAAGTCTGTCCTTTAGGTCCTGGGCTACAGGGCAGTGTTTGCACCCTTTCTGGGCCCTTTCTCATGAGGCTGTGAATTTCCTTTGGAGAGGCCTGTATCTGCGCCCAGGTGGATATAAATTTAAGGATTAAGTTGATGTGCACTGGGTGTGTTCTTTCTATCGCAGATCTTGGAGAACGTGATTTATTTGGTAAAGGAACACAGGACTAGAGACGCGACCTGTACTTTTTTTTCTTTGGCCCGGAGCAACTGCTTAATCTCTTGAAAGGCTCTCATCTGTAAAACGAGATGATTAGACTCAATATATAATTTTTAAAGCCCCTTTTAGAGTTACCATTCTGTAATTCCTGCCTCCTAAGACTTTATTTTTTATTATACTCCTGGTTGGGAAGAGAGATCTTTTGACTAATGTTTTAAAACTCGGGTTGGGCACATTGGTGTGGTTAGGAAGCTTGCTTTCATCAGAATTAAATAGAATTTGCAGGTAAGGTTTATGCATCAGTATTCCAACAGACTCATTTTAATTTTGTTAAAAGATTAGAATATGTGTATTATTTCTTAATGTTAGCCTTAAATGTTCAATCTTTAATGTTAATAGACTTAAATATTTAATGTTTATTTACTATTTTGTCACCTTATTCCTTTCATTAGCATTTTTAAGGTCATCTGCATCTTTCGTCAGAGGAAAAGATGGTCAACGTTTTGAAAGGAGTGCTTATAGAATGGTTAGTAGTTTTTATACTTAATGAGTTTTTTAGAATTAGTTTTTTAAGTTCTGAATGAATCAAGTCTTTCAGCTTTTTCAACTTCATTTTTCTTGTATAACAAGTGGAACAGATTTTATTGCTAAGTTTTTTCCTGATACCAGATTTCAATGTCTCTGTTGAATTGATGTAATTGGCATTATTTTCAGAGACAGCATATTTGTTAGATTAATCCTCTTTAGAGGAACAGTGCTGGTGTTCTCAAACCATCAGAGATTGACTTGAATTTTAGGATCCACCTAAGTCTTTACCATCACAAACTATGGTCTTTTAAAAAAGAGAGAAAAAAACTGATTTAAAAACCAGTTGAAGGTTGCTTAAACTAGTCACCAGTCATACATTTCAGAGGAGAAACTAGAAGCCTTAATGAGCAGAGTTGAGTTCCTCAAAGCAAGCTAATGTAGGGCTGGCTTAGTTATCATGCAGTCTGAAAACTTGAACTGCTGGCCCACATCCTGCTCTGTCTCCATTTGTTTGCATGACAATAATTCTGGGAATCCTGCTCTGTGGATACTCCCACTGTCTGACAACACAGCTGTCTATGTTTCTGTGCCCCTAATATGAGCTCTTATATAGGTAATGGTACAGTTTGCTGTGATGGCAAGTCTAAGGAGCAAGGCCAAACTCTAGGATACTTCTGGCATTTACAGCAGCACTGTCCAATAGAAATATGAAGCAAGCCACATATGTAGTCTTAAATTTTCTAGTAGCCATTTAGAAAGTAAAATGTAACAAGCGAAATTAATATATTTTATTTAACTCAATATATCCAAAATATTTCAACAGACTAAGTCTTCAGAGTCCATACTAGGACTTCAAAATTGTGCAGTCTTTTTTCATATTAAAGTTTCAAAATCCAATGTGTGTTTTACAGCACAGTTCACAGACTAGCCACATTTCAGGTGCTCAGAAGTGACATGTGACTAGTGAGCTATACCTTATGGATAGTACAGATACAGAGTTGGGGTAGAGGAGACACTAGCAAAAACAATTCAGAAGAAAACAGCTAGTGAAGTTGGGGGGAGGCTAAGAGGAAATGTTTCATGAAGGTGAGTGGGCTGTGTCACGTGATTGAGAGAGAGGAGACTAAGATGACACACTGGAGGTCATTGATTTTTTGGAGGAAACTTAATTGAGAGGTGGGATAGATGCCAGTCGGGAGTGGGCGTATACTTTGAAAAGGGAAAGGGAGGTGAGGAAGTTGAGACTGGAGTTTTGTTGTGACAGTGAGCCAAGGACTAGAGAAATGGGTTGAGAACTAAGGAAGGGACTCTGGTTCTTAGTATTTTTGTTGTTTAATGTGAAAGAGTAGAAGGTATGTCAAAAAAGCAAAGAGCTGGAAGGGAGAGGTATTCACTTGGGGGAAAGCAAAAGGGACCAGATCTCAGTCTCAGAAATCTGAACGCTGCTGTTTTCTTTTGGAGAAGACTTCTAGGCAAATTTTTGTACTTCATTTTTCTTACTCTTGTCATAGTTAACATTTTCCGGTTGGTCTTTTAATATTTTTTTAACACATATGATACACATGCAATGCAAGCTATAAATTGTTTTCCTTTCGTTTCTTCCAGTTATCTTAAATTTAACCTTAACCCCTAGGATTTGATAAGTATTCACTTCTCTCTTGGAGAGTTTTTATATTTTTGTGGGGGTATTTTTGTTTTTTTTGTTTTGTTTTGTTTTGTTTTTGATGTTTAAAGTTTCATTCATCTGGAATTTATTAGGGGGACATTATGAACTGAAGATCTAAATTAGCCCCTTTTTTTGGTCAAATATCTGAACAGTTGTTCAACACCATTTATTACCTTTCGTAATGATGCATGATGCCTCTTTTATCAGTTGACTTACCTTGCTGCTTTCCCCAGTCTCATCCCATATCCATTTTTTTCTTTGTCATTGATGCCTATTTGAGAATAGGAATAATTTAGTCTGTTTCCAAAGTAATCCCTTTGGAATGAGGGTTGAGATTATATCAAACCTATATTTTAATCTGAAAAAATATGACTGGACTGCATTTTAAAGAGCACAACTCTGAGAGTCTCATTAAAATCTCAATGGTAGGCTTTCAGTTTCTCCATAAGGACTAAGAGTGCAGATTTGTAAAAGGAACCAAGGTGTTAGTTTTCTTTCCTGAGTGAGCTCTTTGCTGGTTTGCTGTTGTGTTATCAAGCCTCTAAGTTCTGCTTGGGCTCTAATGGCCCTCTGTTATCTTGTTCTTCCAGACTAGCAGCATCTGGAGCTTGTTAGAAATATAAAATCTCAGACCTCACCCTAGATCTACTAAATCAGAATCGTGCATACAGAGCATCTTCTTAAAATGCACTTAAAGTTTGAGAAGTGTTTAATCGACTTAGGCTTGATGACCAATTTCCCAGTGGAGGATTGTTTTGCACTAGGTCCACTTAAATTTTGTAGGTGGATACTGTCTTTGCAAAACTAATTTTTTCCCTTCAAGGTGAATTCTAAAGTGTAGCCTGAACAATTTTTCAAAAGGTTAACTGTCTTCCCGGAGATAAATCTTCCGAAAGACTCCAGGCCTGAGAAATAACAGATTCATAAAGGGCATGGCTAGGGCTGGTGGGTACTCCTCATGATCAGGTGCACATGTTAGGGTAATAACTGGAAAAATCCTTCTGTTTCCATCATGTCTGTATCTGATGCCAAAGAGAAGATTGTTAGTAATACAGCATCAGTATGAGTTTGTTTATTACCTTATCCATAGATTCTGTGAAGCATTTAGGGATATTTGAGTACCGAATTTGATAGGTCTGGAGTTTATAGGCAAACCACACAGGGATCTCCTAAAACTACTTCCATTGTCCCAGTGATTCTCCAAATTGCAGTAACATCACCATACAAGGTCATATAATAGCCTAGATAGTGCTTTTCCACATATTCAGTCCAGCCAGCCAGCAAAATACTTCTTGGGCATGTATGGCCTAGTTCAGAAAGAGAATCTTAATGTGACATCTGTCTTAGAATGGCTTAATTTACTGCCACATTTAAAGTTCATGTCTATCAGTGCCTTTTAAGTGATCTTGAGAACAGTAGAGAAGCAAATAAACCATGTTATAATGGTGGCCATTTAGGCCCAACTATCAGTGAATTGAAAAATCAGGGTACTTGGATATAAAATTCATTCCTCCCAAGGCTTATCAAATACCAAAACCTAAAGCTCAGTATTTTTGTTTGCTTATAAATTTGTGTTTTTATGTCAAAATAACATTGGTGAAAATGTCCTCTTTATTTGGATTCACCACTATCAACTGCTAGCCTCACAGCAAGCATTTTCCCAAATCTAGCCAACCACAGCAGTATCGAAGCAAGCAGCATATGTCCTACAAATGGCTGTCCAATTCTAGATGCTAGAGCAGACCTTTGGTGTGACAGTTATCACATTTGGTTTGGCTCAGCAAGGAAGATTTGTTGCAGAGGTGCAGATTCCAACCAGTTTATAGCATAATAGTAAAAAATATGGAGAAATAGATAATATTAGACCAGACTTATTCTTATGGGTTTGGCTTCTAAATCTTATTGTGTATGAGAAGCAAATAAGAACTAAGGCAAACCAGTTTAACCATTCTATTCTTTCCCAGCATTTATGTGTGTCTTGTGAGCCTTTGCTGCTTTGCTGGGCCATATTACTAAGGTTCTCATGGGCACTCAGAACAGTGCCTGAGATAAATATAGGAGGTGCTTCGTAAATATTTATTTACTGAATGAATTTTGTTAACAGAATTGAATCAAGGAGGGCAGTCTAAGCCTAAATCCCACAATAATTTCATTTCTAGAAGTTTATCTTAAGGAAGTGATCCTAAGGAATGATCAGAACTGTGGATTAAAATGTAAGTAGTTAATTGTGTTAATAAAAAATAAAGTGTTGACTGTAACACAGATTTATAGTCAAATGATATAGCTAGTAAAATATTTGAAAACATTTTAAGTGGTGTGGGACAATGATACAATATTAATTGATGAGTGCTGCATTCCTTTAATAAATAACACTGAGCATTTGCCAGATACTATACTAAGTACTTTGTAATATTCAATTAGTTTTTACGACAACCCTATGAGATACAGGTGTTATTATCTCCATTTTATCAGTGCAGAAATTGAGGCACAGAGAAATTCATCAACTTGCTCAGGGTTACACAGCTTCTAAGCTGGGATTTTTAAACCATGATATTTGGCTCCAGAGCTCAAGCTACTAAGCCTTTTGCAGACAGTTTCTCCAACACAAATCTAAGTATAATAGTGTGTTAACTTAAAAAAAAAAAAAGTACGCATATAATCGTAGAATAATATCATATAATCTCAGGTTAATATTTTTCTAACAGAAATAGTATATCTGTTCATACGGACAGAACCAGGTGATTTGAACTTCTCTGCCTACATCCTCCCACATACCCAGATACTCTTGGCATTTTAATTGCTCCTCATTTGAATATCTATGATGAGCAAGTTGTTTTAGATATTCTCTAATCCAGCCACCCTGCAACATAAGTACTGTCTCCGTCTTACTACTTAGGAGCCTAAGACATGGAGAGATTGAGTGATTTTATATAATGATACATATTTTGGTTGGCTGAGCTGAGATTTAGGGTTAGGCTTTCTGAGTTCTCTTTTGTGTTTTTGTAACAATAAAACCTTTTATGTGTCATATTGGCAACTTGGGTCCTGTTTTTCTGGTTAAGTTAATGTCCCCTGTGGTGACCCTTTCTTTTAAGACCTAGTCATGTAGCAAACATTGAGTACCTACAATATGCTGGACCCTAACTTAGGCACCCATATCTCAGGCCAGACAAAACTCAAATTGAGAAAACATTTTGGAAAAGGCTTATAAGAGGGAAATGTAAGGGAACAAAGCCATTTCATATTGAGTGTCAATTTTCTAAAACATTCTATTTTCAGTACATACAAATTTATGGAGAAATAGTTTTAAGTTATTTGTATCATTAGATCTGTTAGCTAATTATTATCAGGAAGGATAGTTTACCATTGACTAAACCAAGATTATCAATCTGATGGGATAGACAGTGCTGACAACTTTATCCATCTGGCCAATTAACTTGATGGCCTGATTTACTTTGTCCTAGTAGACCCCTCATAGGGTAATATTTATTAGAATATATGTTATAGGGGCTAGACTAAGGTTTTTTAGCAGTGGGTTTTTTGATAGCTGTCCTTGTTTCCAGGGCGAAGACACTTTTTTCCTGTCCACTAGCTCTGATCCCAGGACTTGAACCAGCTATGTTTGTGGGAACCCGGTTTCGGTTTTTTCCTTGCCAGCAGGTTCTCCCAGAGACCTTCCATGGAGAAGTAGAATAGCCCTATATTCACGCAGGATATTCCAGGCCTTCGACAACTCATAACAAAATGTCCCTTAAACTTTTGAGTGTCTTTTTGAATTATTACAGATTATATTTTAGTTAATTTGAGAATCCAGTGTCAAATTAACTGCTTTCTATTTCCTTTCAGAAAGTTTAATTGAGGAGATTGATATCAGAAGTAGTGATTTCAGTGTCTCACTGACCAGTCACTCACCTCGCCTGTCAGTTGTCCATGTTTCCCACATATGGGGGACAGCACTGGTGTTCAGGGTGATTTGTAATGGAAGACACATTTGGGGGTGGGGGCTGGGAAAGAACACAAAAATCGTCTTTATATGACCAGCTTAATTTATTTGAGAAAAAAAATAGAACACTTCAAGATGACTGGTAATTCATACCAGGTGAAGTTAAACCTACAAGTTGATATAAAGCAATTTCTTTAAAAAGCAATTTAAAGAAAACTATTAATATATAATGCAAGTGTTAAAAGAGATGGCTAAAATAGCAATGATACTATGTGTAGGGGTTCAGAATGAGTCACCCCAAGAAGTGCCTGTGGTATGTAGATTATTTTGAGCTAAAAGCAGTCAAGACCCTGTAGGCTCAAGAAAAACTTCTGCCCCTGCTTAACTGCATAGACAAGTTTAAATTAGGGGCCTTGCCCATAATAGGAGCTATCACCAGAAGTAACCTCTTCTGAACTACCTATAGGCAGAGCAGACATCTCATTACTAAACATCTCTGCGAAGCCCCAGGTGCCTCACTTCATTCCTGAGCTCAGGATGTCAGATATTCCTCCTGTTCCATTCTGTCTGAACCTCTCACATATGTGGGGTCCCCATGCACGCAAAGTTCAATGCAGTTTTCTCCTGTTAATCTGTCTCATGTTGATTCTTCAACGAGCCAAAAGAACCAGAAGAGGGAAGGAGGAATTTTTCCCTTCCCCCACATAAGCAAGTGGCAGAAATTTTGAAAACACTAACACGATTCAAAGCACAGATGGACACTTCTTGGTTTCAGCTCTTTAACTTTTATATCATTGAAGTGATGTAAATTTATTTCATCTACCAGTGTTCTGGAGACATAATAGTCTTTATCATCATTTAACCTTTGCTATCTCTAATTCCTCTTATAGCAGCCAATTACTAGAATAAAGGATGTCTTCTGTGAATACCCTGAGCTCAGACAGTAACATACCACTTCTGGACAGCGATTTTCACAATGTCCGCATTTGTTCTCATTACTATTACATTCAGACCCGAAATTTAATTTAAAGGGCCAACAAAAAAACAATTGTTTGTTCTGTTGTGTAAGGTATACCCTTCAAAGAAACCTCTGAGTTTGGTTTTTATAGAAAATGTCGAGATTCTTGCAGGATGAAAAGGGCCTGGAGGGTCAGGTGGGCATGTGAAGAGAGATGAGTCCTCCCTGTCCCTTGATTTCGGGGAGAGGAGGAAGAAGCCTAGATTTAGAACACTAAAGAAGATTTTTGTCTGTCCCCCACACCCGTCTGGTCTTAAACTGCTCTCCTTTTGTTCTTCACCCCATCCCACCTGCCCTTTTATTTGTATAGGGCAGAAAGACTTTAGCAGAACAATTGAGTTTTTTCAAGAGAGTCTGAGCAGGAACACAGCAGTTGTAGAGAAGCTGAAGCTTTAGTTCCCTGTCCTGTGGGCCTCCTCATTTCCACTTTTGAAATGTCATCCGAAAGAACCCTGGTCAACCTACTTCATTACTCCCAGCTTCCTTCTCAAATTGCCCATTAAGTTCCTTTTCATTTTGTTTCACAGCCTACTTTTTGTCAATAATTGATAAATTGTGTACTTTAGTGAGATTTTTTCAGTATCCAGTCTTACTACTTTACAGAAATTTAATTTTTTATTCTGTGTAACTGCCAAAATTAAGGAATTACCGAAAATGTTAAATTTTATATCTCTGTCTGCTTAAATCTGTGACCATTACATTATCTGTCTCTGTCAAAGACCCCCCATTCTCTCCCATCCATCACTGGCTGTGGTTGCCGTTCAGTCTCATGTCGTTATCTGCCTGGAGACCTTCATTCTCGTACGTTTTGTCCCTTCCTGTTTTCATTCACCCGAAAGGTCACAGCCCTCCAGGCCATCCCTCATCCCTTTGACGCGCACTACCTTATGGTTGTATACATCTGCTTTTTTAAATTCCGTCCACCTTCCACCCGCATCCTTCCACTCTGCCCTCCAGAACCTAGTGAGGTGGCGGGATCCCCTGCGCCCTTGCCCTTTCCTCTGAATGCTTCATCTCCTCTCCCCAGGCCCCTTTTCCTTTCAGCCCAATGGTACAAGACGTGTTAGAGGAATTAGGATAGTTGTCTACCTTATTCCTTGTCGCTTCTAAAAATTCTCCTTTCTTCTTTTATAGGAACCCCGTTCTGAATCTCACACCATCAGACTAAACCACGTGCTTTGCAGTAATCCACAAACACCCAAATCTTTCCTTGGTTTTTCCCTGAAGACTACCTGTCACTCTTCAGTAGCTCTCCTCTCAGATTCTTGGTGGGTTCAGTATCTGTGTGGATAGTCCTTCCAATACTCTGCCCTCTCAGTTCCCTGACCTCCTCTTCTAATAAGCTTGTCCTCCACCCTGTCGCAGCCGTTCGTGCGCGTAGTCAGACCTAGACCTGTCCCTACCAATGCCGCCACCTCTTCAGAGTCTCCATTCCAGACATCTGACTTCTCCAGTTCACTCCCTGAAATACCCCATCTTTCTAATCTCTTCAGCTCTACCGGAAGTAGTCTGCCGACTCTCTCACGTTTTCATTGTCCTTCGCCTCCCCGGCACCCTCGCTTTCCTCCCTGCCCAGCTTATGCTCCACAGTCCATCAGTATTTTTGTTTTCTCAAAGACACTCTCAACTCCCTTGCCCTCCTCGGTCACACTCACCAAATCTGGTTAAATCCAGCTCCCTGCTTTCTCTGAACCTTGACCTCCACAGCTCTCAGGGACTGGAGGAAAACGCACAGCATACTGTGCAGTCTCACTTCAGATTCGTGACCGCTCAACTCAGGCGGACCCTGAATGCTAGCCAGCGAGCTCGTGACGTTTCCTAGTTCACTTACTCTCCACTTTCCTGGTAAAGCTGTTACATCAAATCTAAGATTTCATTAATTTTACAAACTTAGTGATTATTTTATGTACCTTTAAGAAAAATCACTGCCAGTTATACTCTAATATCTCCTCGATTGTTAAGACTCATCTCAGTTTCAGAGTTGTTAAAGTGTGTGTTGGGGCGGGGTGGGGATGTGCTTCTTAAAATGGATGAAATCTAGTATTTCATACCTTCAATTTCTCTTACCTCGAACAACTTCCATGTCTTCACTTGTAGCTGATTCCTTGCTTCCTATTTCACTGGGAAAATAAAAGCAATCAGAGGAGAACGTCCATGACTCTTTCTCACATGGCTCTGTGTCCATATACCACCCCCTCCCCACCCAGTTACTATGAAGGAACTGCCCATTCTCCTGTCTAAAGCCAGCTTTCCTGCTTGGGAACCGGATCTCATCCCCTCCTGCCTATTTAAGAACACTTCTTCAGTGGTTTTCCTCTTTTCTCCTGCTTTATCATCAGTTTTTTTCCTCTGCTAGATCATTCCCTGTGTATCACAAACATACTGTAATTTGTCCCCACCCCTCCCAGGCAAAAACTGAGTCCCACATCCCTTTCCAGCTCCCACTCTGTTTTCATGCTCATTGTAGCAGAATTTCTCAGACCTGTCTCTGTTCACTTTAATTTCTCTCCTCCTTCTGAAACCCACTCGTCAGCCTTCTCCCTACAACTCTACCAAAACTGCTTGCACCAAGGTCCAGCAGCTTTCTGAATCCAGTGGTTGGTCCTCAGTCCTTACCTTACTATGCCTGTGAACCACATTTGACGCAGTTGATCATTCTCCTTTCTGAATATCCTTTGTTCACTTAGCTTCCAGAACTCTTCGTGCATTCTTCCTACCTCAGTGGTCACTGATTTGTTTTTACCTTTTGTTGTCGGGGTGTCCAAGGCTTGGTCCTTGGACCCTTTGTAGCTTCCCCTGTCGTACATTGATGACTGACTCTTACTCTTTGGTCTGGACTTCGCTGTGTGAAATCCACAATGGTATATCCAGCTTCTTACTCTGCTGCTTCACGTCGGTGCCTGTAGGCTTCTCAAATGTAACATGCCTAAAACCAACGCGATCTTACCGGCAAACCTGTTCTTCCCACACTCATCCTCAGTGAAACAACTCCATCCTTTCATTTCCTCCAACTAAGAATTTTAGAGCCTCCTTAAATCCTCTCTTTCAAAGCTCAAGTGTAGTCTTAGGAAATCTTGTTGCCTTTATTTTTAACATATGTCTAAAATTCAGCCACGTCTGATTACCTGTTACCACCTAGGTCCAAATCATCATCATCGTCTCTTGCCTGGATACAGCAGTCACCTCACTGGTCTCCCTGTGCCACCCTTGCTGCTGCCACCACCCTTGCTGCTGCCGCCACCCTTCACTCACCTCCAGATTTCTCAACCCAGCAGGCAGTATGACTCGTACATCTAAAATGTAACTCAATTTGTAAATTGACATGGCACTTAGTAAAAGTCAAAGTCCTTAAAATCATCTTTAAGGTCCTACATCATCTGAACCAGTTTTAACTTTCCGAGCTCTCTCCCACTATCTCCCATCAGGCGCCTGTCTCTAGCCACCTGTAGGCTCTTCACTCTGCCTAGGATGCTTCTCCCCCACACCGCCTTCTGCGGTTCACTCGGATGTCACCTGCTCAGTAAGGCCTGCCTTTACTCCCTTACTTAAACTTGCAAGAGCCTATCAGTTTCACCACTGCCATTTCTCATCCTACTTTTCTGGTTTTGTGTTTGTTTATCATAGTTCTACTGCTAGAATATAAGCTCTGTGACATGGAAGGTTCTTAATTGTTTTGTTCATTGCTAAATCCCCAGGACTGGAATAGGGCCTGGCACATGATAGGTATTCATTAAGTATTTATTAAGTGAGTGAGTACAAAAAATAGCAGATTTTGTCGAATCTAAGTGAGTAAGTGTAGCCTTTAGGTGTTCTGAACCTAAGTGTAAGATAAACATACTAGAAACTAAATTTAAAATCTGTCAATTCTGATGTGGGTAGATCTATTCACATAATTTTACAGCATAGTAAATTATTAATACAATCATTTTAGTGGTAAGTTGAAAGTAAGAAAGTAATTAGGAAGGCTCGACTTTTTAATAGTTAATATATTGCGAACCATACTCATTTAGTGAGTAAAATAAATCCTTTGTTGGCTTCACTTATTACCCATGTTAGTACTTGAAAGAAGTAAAACTTGTTTTTATTGTTCATTAAATTTTTCTGACCTTTTGAATTAAATTATCTTTGTAATTGATGTTGACATTAAAAAACCAAAAGATTGTGTAAGATTATCTTTTCTGTAAAAATTAAATCTGTATGCAACTTGATATTTTTATATTCATTTTTTTGCCAAACACATTATTGTATATTATATTAGAACTAAAGAGTGTCCTTCGTCATGATTCAGGACTTTTATGAGAGTTATTTCTTAAATCCAAGAAATTACATCCCTCTTTCCTTTATGACTATCCTATTTGTTCCAAAGTAAAGGCACAAATAAATAGAATTGAATTGGATCTCTTCTTTGAGCTCAGTATTCTCAAAGAGATTTTATTAGGATTGCCTTTAAAGATTCTGAATGATAGTTCAGACTTACAAGTTTCAGAATTGTAAGGATGGAAAAAAAACTTGAGTACCTACTACAAACCAGATGCCATCCTTGGCATTTCTCTCCTTTAATGTTCATGACATTTCTTATGTGGGCTCACTTCGAGGTTTTGGGAGATTAAGTACATATTAAGGTTACACAGGTAAGTGATAGAGCCAGGGCTGAACCTAGATTTGACTCTTAATGTACACCTTGCTTTGTCAAAGCGATGATTTCACTGATTTTGTACATTAATTTGTCACTGGCAAGATAGTGAAAAGCTTTGGCTTTTCAAATAATGGTCACTGACAAGTAAGGAAATTCATTTTTAAAATCGGTTAAGGAGGCTGTGATTCTATGCCCGATTAACTACAAAGCTTTGAACGTTACTTTTTCACTTGTCAGTGACAAATCATTCTTAAAACCTTATCATTGGCCTCTTACTCTTAAACTTGCACTAACAATTCTGAAAGAAAGCTACATCTATGAGTTGTTAACACTTGAGACAGAACGGGAGTGAGAATAACAACTTTTTAAACCTAAAAATTCTATGTGCTCAATTCTAGTCACTTGGGGCCTGGTTTAACTTGACAGTTAGGTAGCTCATCATTATGTGTTTATCTCTACAGTGACCCTGCCATGAAGCAGTTTCTACTGTACTTGGATGAGTCAAATGCCCTAGGGAAGAAGTTCATCATTCAAGACATTGATGACACTCATGTCTTCGTAATAGCAGAGTTGGTTAATGTCCTCCAGGAGCGAGTAGGTGAATTAATGGACCAAAATGCTTTTTCCCTTACCCAGAAATGAAAATATTAGATGCTGACCACTTAGAAATTAAAAGTAACAAATGTGAGAGACTGTCCATTCGGTTATCTTACGTGACCGGTTAGCAGCATGCTGCAGGAAAGCCTGGGTATCATTGTGCAGAAAAAAGCCCCTGAGCTGAATTTCTCGTTCTGTTTTTTTTTTTTTCAGTACATGTACCCTAGAATTGAAAAAAAAAAAGCTGTAACGGTTGGCTATAATTTGACTTTTATTGTCCTTTATTAAAATATAAATGGTTTTCTTACCTTTTAATGCCAATTCAATAGATTAAGAGTATAATGGAATATGCTTTTTAATTATCAGTCTAGCCTAGATATTTGTTTGTTTGTTCCTGTTAGTAATTATGGGTTTCTGTAGTGTAGATGTGGTTTATTTTGTTTCCAGCTAGAAACTTCACAGAAGTTTTTAATCAAAATAAAACATACATACCGAAAGTACACAAGGCATAAATGTACAAGTCTCTGAATTTCCACAAACCGAACACACCTCTATAACCAGCACCCAGATCCCGACAAATGAAATCACCACCATCCCAGAAGGCCTCCCCAGGGGTAAGGGCTGGTAAGGGTGCTGTCACCGACCACCCCAGAGCAGACGCTGTGCCGACTTTTGACAGCATAGGTTAGTGTTGTGTACTTTGTAACTTTGTATCAGTGGAATCATGCAGCGCAGGCTCTCGTCTGGCATCTGTTACATTAGAGATTCATCCATGCTGTTGCGTAACACATGGTTGGCCCTTGAACAGCATGGGTTTGAACTGTGCGAGTCCACTTATATGTGGATTTTTTCCAGTAAATACTATATTTTCCAATTGATTTTCTTAATATTTTTCTCTAGCTTACTTTATTGTAAGAATACAATATATAATACTTACAGCATATAAAATATGTGTTATTCAGCTGTGTATATTATCAGTAAGGCTCTCAGCCAGCAGTAGGCTATTAGTAGTTAAGTTTTGGGGGAGTCAAAAGTTATAAGTGGATATTCGACTGTGCGGGAGGGTTGGTGCCCCTAACCATCCCCCGCCCCCATTGTTCAAGGGCCAGCTGTAGTTTTTCGTTCTCGTTGCTGTATAGTATCTATTATTTGCCTCAACCACACTAGAGACATTTTGGTTATTAAATAAATCCGTCCTTAAAATGTAATAAATATATATTCATTAAACCTCAATTCGAATTTAATAAACACATCAAAAAATTTTACCAATATTGGTGGTCATACTGTTTTTTCTCCAGTGGCAGAATGTGTACAATTTTACTGTATTTGTTTGAGAAAAGAAATGGAAGTATAGAATCTAATTATAAAATATACTAGCATTAGTTACATTGATATTCTGTGGTTATTATAAGAGCTTCAATTCATTCAGTCCTTCACCTAATCAAAAAATAAGTGCTTGGTATGTCCTAGATGTAAATGATAGATACAGTTGTAAAAAAGATATATAAGGCACCTGTATCAGGAATACATTTAACTTCAAGTAACAACACCAGTGAAGAGTTATTTAAACAGTAAAGAAATTTAATCGTCTCATATAACAAGGAGCCTGGAGATGGTTCCATTATTGGGGGCAACCTGCTTCTGTACTGAATAATGTGAGCTTTTCATTCCTGGCTCAATACCTCATGGTCACAAGGTGGTGGCCACTCCAAGGGTTACAGTCACAGCAGCAGCCCAAACCAGGAAAGGGAGGTTCTACTTGCCAGCAGAGAGAATAAGGGGAACACTTCCTCCTGGTGTAACTCTTTTTATCGGGGGGAAAAATCTTTCCCAGAATCTTCCCACAAGTCCATCCCTAGACCACTCGTTGGCAAAGAGAAATGGAATAATAATTGACTTAGTAATTCTTAGTAACTTTTAAAATCACTTGGGGTCTTTCTCACAGAATTCCAAGTAATTTATGTGGGCCAACCGAGGTAGAGCTTAGTTCCCTACTGTGAGTATGGGCTGCACTGAGTGACTTGCTTCCAAAGAATGGATTTGGACAGGGTCAAAAAGTAACTGAGCAGTGGTGAAACCTGGAAAATAATCTACTGGCCGGGTGACCAGGGTTAACATCAGAGATGAGTCATGTTGAGGGCGTGCACCCCTAATGGTGTGATGGGAAGGGTACTTCACCTCTGAAGTTTTCTTCCTAAAAATAACCTGGGTCTTACCGGGAGAAAAGCATCAGAACAACACAAATTAAGGGAATTCTACAAAATATCTGGCCAGTACTCCTCAAAACCACCAAGGTCATGAAAAACAGGGCAAGACTGAAACGCTGTCACAGGTCAGAAGAGACTGAGGAGCCATGACCAAATGTGAAGCAGTAGCCCAGATGGGATCTGGGGACAGAAAGGGACACCAGGTAAAATCTAAGAAAATCTGTATAAAGTCTGCAGTTTAGTAATAATGTTGTGTCTGCTTTTGTATATCCTTGAAGATTTCCATTAGAAGTTTTTAAATGTGAATATCCTAGTACATAATATGCCTACATATGTTTCAGTAAAGAATAGCATAATGGTTAATAGCATGGATTTTGATAACAATTTTGTTTGAATCTCAGTTTTACCATTGAATAGTTGGTGATTTGGAGCAAATTACTAAACTTATCTAAATATTGGTTTCATTATCTGTAAAATGCAGGTAATAATAACCATGATGGGGTGATTTTAAGGATAAAGTGTGTAACGTGCTTTGTTACAGTACATAGCCCATAATAAGCACTTACAAGTATATTCTGTTTGGTGATGCTTTATCTCACCATCCCAAAATAATGTGTTATTCTCTCAAATGACACTTCTATTTGGGAAGAACAAAATCAGCTTAACACATTAAGTCTTCAAAAAAGCTTTTAAAATGTTAGTTCTAACACCGATCTTGAGATGCACACATTGCTAAGTGGCAGAGCCTTGTAGAAATGCACAGGAAGCCAATCGAGGGTATTCTAAGTACGCCTCAGGGACTGGGGCCCTTTCCTGGGCTTCTCCTTTCTCGCAGACTCCAGGCAAGCACCCCTTCTTAGGAATCCTCAGCACTCCTCAAGCCTCCCAACTCCATGACCTCCATCTGATAAACAGAATGTGTTCCCCTTCCCCTCTGCCCCTTCCTCTCTTCTTGTGGAGCCAGGAGCCTCAGATTCAGCACAGTGGAAGCCTCTTGCCTAGAAAGCCACACTGTGGCGGCTGCTACATCATTACTCTTGGATCCCCTGACATGCGTCCACGATCCACTCCGAGAAGCATTGGTCCATACAGGAGGAAGTACCCTCCTCCAGGAACCAGGTTTCTTTGGGGAGCCCTAGAGCCCTGATAAACCAAGCACAGACTGGTAGCCTCAGCCTCACCTGGGAGTCCCCTCCAAACCTACTGAGTCAGAATCACATTTTAATGAGTTTCCTAGATGATTAATGCACATTAAAACTGAAGAACTGCCATGAAGAAGCCACTCTGGGACAAGGCAGAGGGTTTGAAAGCCGATTTCGGGAGCCACAGGAATAGCAGATGAAGGCATCAGATGAGGGTCTTCCCAGCACGCATGTGGCTATTAATCAACCGAGTGCCTTTCAAGCATGTGACCTAGAACTCCCTTCTGCTCCCACCCGAATTCCAGGGAGAAACCTGGGGGTTAAAGATGACAAGGGGCATGGTGTTCCTGTGAGGAAGCTTTATAATGTCACCCAGTCCAGAAAGGGGGCAGATAACGTGTTTACCAAGTAAAGCCAGGCTCATTACTTAACGACAAATAGGGTCAAAGTTCTATTAGTAAAAAATACAAATTCTGAGATATCCTACTTTACAGACGGAAAGCACAGCTGCCCTGTCCAGAGCTTTTGTGCAACTTAGAAAAAGGTGGCAGGTACTTGGCTTCATTGCTGGTGGTGCCTTTGGGTGAAGAAAAAGGTGCCCTTCTTTCAAGACTTCTGCCCGCACT